ATACTGTTTTGTTTGTTTGTTATTTAGTTTGTTTGTTTGTTTGCTTGTTTTAATCAATTTTAAATCATGCTTTTTATTTGTTTTTGTTTCTAATGTCTCTGTAAAGCACTTTGAATCACCTTGTTGTTGAATTGTGCTATACAAATAAACTTGCCTTGCCTTGCCTAACAAGTACAGTGTGGTCTACTCTGACTGTACTAAAGTAACTTATGAAGCAATATTGCAATATTATAAGTACATGGAGGATTTCAGTCTCCTTCTCATAATCATTACACATCAGAGACACACACTATACAATATTGGCAAACAGTGCACCTACAGTAATTGCGATCTGTCCTCAACAATTCAAACAAAATGATTCAAATAGAACACTGATAACGAGGTCTGTGTTTGACTTTTTTTTCATGGTGAGGAAATCTGACCAGTATTACAAGTAAAACAGACCCAACCATGGAAAAATACTGTAAAATGGCAGATATGAAGCTGGGATACATAAGCTGATAAAAACATCAACCCACATAGGCACAGCTTAGATAAACTGAAGATGAATGTGGAAGGAAATCGATTATTTGTTGATGGTAAAAGATTGCCTTTGATATCCCTCGGTCTATTTATCATGTAGGTCCATTTCAACACAAAGAGATTTCTGTTTCCTCTCACCTCCAAGTAATTGTTACAGTCGAGCAATTTGCTGAATGTGTTTGTGACCTCTGGCGATGTGGCACTTTTCAAGGTTTGCAGAAACTACACACATACATCTAAAAATATATCAAGCAGTGACTGGCATTCTCATTTCCCAAACATGACGAAAGAGTATGCTAACCTGCCAAAACATTTGGATAGATTACTGTATTCAAGGATTACTGAGTTGTTCCAGACATAAGCAAAAATATACACACACACACAAATATAGGTGTGTGTGTGTGTGTGTCATACATAAAAATATCCTTTTCAGTTCCTAGAACATGTAAGTATAGACTATTGTATGCCTCTATTGTGTAACAAAGTACAGTTAATATGGTTCTACTGGTTCATTTGTGTGGTAAAAGATGCTTTAATTCATTAAGCGTCAGCTCTTTTAGCGTAGGAAGCCAAATATACCTCCCGATGAGAACCAAAATGCATATCACCAATTCCCTTCTCCACTTCCAGAGAAATGGGGCACACTGGCTAGAATGGATGGCTTTACATAAAAAGATTGGCAAAATAAAATGGAAAACATTTGAAAGTAGTAAAGTATAAGCCTACATACACTGACGCAATAAGAGTACTACAATAGCCTGCAGTAGCAGTAGTACTGCAGTAGCCTCCATCTTTGCACTATGGCTTCATTCAAAGACAAGTAGGTCTTGTTGTCACAATGAGTAATAATGCTAGCCTTTCCTGATTGTGCCTGGGGTACATGGGGACAGTTACATCACCAAACTGCATAAATCTATTACCAGACTGAGAGCATTGTGAGCGGAAAAAACCCTCCTAAGAGATAGTGAACGCAGGGTGATGAGCACAGCTGCCTAAGTACAAGGTTGGAATTCATAATTCAGGCCTTCAGTGTATGTTAATGTCAGAGTAAAGGCAGCCATGCTAGCTCAGCAGGGCAAATGTGGAGCGAATTAAATGAAAGATGAACAGCAATTATACGGTGCATCACCTGAGCTATCACTCCACTATACTGTTGTTAAAGGTGACTTGAACAGAAGAAGACAAGCTGCTGAGTGGAAAGTGTTCCCAGACAGGAGACCAGAGAGACTACAGTCAGATGAGTGAGGGAGCAGACGAGGGAGATATAAGCATCTGTGTAAAGCTTGATATCACTGTGTGGGCATCGGCCAATACTGGCAGCTGCAGAAGCAATATAGATAGCAAGATTGGGCTTAGATTTAAAAGGAAGTTTGCATATCTTATTTGAATGTCTGCTTATCTGCAAAATTGGCCAAGTTGAAAACATGTTTAGTATCTGCAGGCTTGATGCCACAGGATGTAATCGCTCGTAGATTTTCAGCAGGAGAGAAAGAGTGATGCAGCAGAAGACTGATGTTCACCACATGCACCACATTTTAGTTGGTATGTGTTCTGCAGATGCGACAGCTGATTTTATAGGTTCTCTGGCTGTTTTCCTACAGTATTTGCTCTCAAAATGCACTCGACTGCAAATGATTATGCTGCACCTGATGGGCAGAGCTTAGAGCTCTGAATGTAACAGCTAAATTGCAACAAAGCCAAGGCCTCTGAGCTATGCTTCAAATTTTCTTAAGATGCACCAATTACAAACCTTCACATTAATCATTTAAACAGTCAATATGGTCTGCTGTGCAACTCATTATCATGATAAATTACAATCTTATCTTAGAACAAATCAAGAGGTGCTTCTTAATAATCATTAGCATGTGTCAGTTCAGAGCAGCACTGGTACATATCAGAAGAGATACAGCATCCAAATCTCATATTAAAGGAAAGGGAACCTTTCCTTAGAACATCTGATTATGTGTGAACAGCAGATTTCTTGGAAATCTTACAGGACCAAAATGGTGTTGTTAGTGTGAGGTGAACCTGATCTTTATTATTCAGTGTTACTTAGTATTATCACATGTTATGAGGAGCCAAATGAAGGTGAAAGCTAGAGCTGGCAGATGCTCAGTCTAGAAGGTTTCACATGGTGTTACCCCAAATAGCTGCAACCAGCAGATGTGTTGGCAGGGGACAGTCTTTGCATGATGAAGAGCATCACACTCAAAATCAAAGGTAAATAAGGTGATGGGCCACAAAAATTGAAATCTGTCTATATCCTATGTGAGAAGTTGTCAAAGGAAGAGGCCCAAAAAAAACCTGAAGCTTAACTATAGAATTTTTCAAGGATTGATTGTGAGCCTTGCAGGAGATTAACATCTAAAAGTGCCTTTAAACACATTTATGTTTTCTGTGCTAAAGATCACACTGCATTTATTTATGTTATTTTACTTTTAAAAACACACATAATACTGTATCCACTATACTGACATTTCTGTGATTGAATATTCAAGTGAACCTAAAGATTTGGTTCCCCCTAAACTACAAAACAAAGTATTATCTCTTACTTTGGTCTATTTTTATCTGGAGATAAAACTAGACAACAGCTTATAAAGCAGCCATTTCTTCAATAGAAAGTTCTTCCAGTAATTCTCCAAAGGTTGATTTTGTTCATCTGGACCTAGCGTTTTGTGGGAGAAACATTTCGTCACTCATCCAAGTGACTTCTTCAGTCTCAGCTGACTGCAGGTTTCCCCAATCTTATAAACAGTGCATTTGCATAATGACTGAAACCAGCCCACTGAAGGAACAATGGGCTGGGAGGTCAGTTCCTTAATCTTAATTATGCAAATTCTCATGACCATTGATCAACAACCACTGATCAAGGCCCACTGATCAAAGCCCACTGAGCAATGGCCATTCACAGAGAGTTGGGGAATGGCTGCAATCACAACATTGTAAGATGGCGAAAGATGTACCCTTAGGCCCCCTCCTCGATTTAGAGATGGTCTTTCCCTTTTCACATAAATGTCCTCTTTGACTCTGCGCTCAAACCAGCGTTCCTCCCTGTCCAGGATGTGTACATCCTCATCATTGAAAGAGTGTCCACTGGCCTATAGGTGTAAATAGACTGTAGAGTCCTGGCCTGACGAGGTAGCTCTTCTGTGTTGTGCCATCCGCTTCACCAGAGGTTGTTTGGTTTCCCCGATGTATAAATCCTGGCAATCCTCCTGGCACTTAACAGCGTACACTATATTACTCTGTTTGTGTCAGGAGATCTGATCCTTGGGGTGGACCAAGTTTTGGCGCAGCTTCTTTTGGGGTTTAAAAGCCACAGAGTGTGTTTAGAAAAAATGCGTCTCAACTGTTCCGATACTCGGATACTTACTGGATACTTCCAGTAATGACTGTTCAGAGTGAGGAATGAAATGTACTGGATTGGAAAAACATCAGAAGCAGATGTGTATAAACCATAGCAAATAAACATTGAAATATATAAAGTGTAATACCTTGCTTGAAACTGAAATTTGGATGAAATGGACATTTAAAATTTAGGCAACTTGAATAAAGATTATAACTAGGGTCAGTCATAAACAACAAAATCAGTTGTCTTACCTGTAGTTTACAGGCCAGCGAACCATCCACATGCGGTGATAGGAGAGTGAGGTGACCGAAAAGCAGGTGACCAGTGTGAGAGTATAGAAGGTAGACACAAACACTTTGCACAGACCCTCATTCCACTCGTAGTTGGAGTGCTGACGCCGCAGTGTTATGACACAGTACATGGTAATGGGGATGGCCATGTTGAGGATATGTGTGCCCGCCAAGGTGCAGATGAGAAACTCCAGCGGCTTCCACTTCTTCTGCTTGGCACTGACACTAAGGATACTCCAAGTGTTGGCAAGGATGGACACGCCCGAACAGACCAGCCAAGCCAGCGTGTTGGCGTTGATGACATCATCCTTCATGGTGGTTAAATCATCCACCATGTTGTAACGAGGCAGGGTGGAGCCTGGGGGGCCGCAAGGAACTGTTGGCAAGAGCAGGTACACACAAGGAGAAGGAGGAGGTGGTAATGGGCAGGAGGGGATGCAGGGTATCAAGCAGAGCAGGCATCCTATCTGGGTGGGTGTGCACTCTCCATGGGTCGGGCACAGTGGGGAAAGGACATGACTGTGGTGCAACGCAGTGTGATGTTAGAGGAGGAGGATGGCAGAGCGGGGCCAGTTCCCTTACAGTCCTAAAGCTGAAGAAACAGGGTGAGAAATGACAGAAGCAAAGTGGTCAGAGGGAGTAACAATTTTAAGAAATTACACTGGTCAATCTAGTTCTAAATAATCCTTGACCAGACATAATCCCTTATCAGTGAATTAATGGGGTTATTTTAATCACAACAGATTAACTCTATGTGTTAAGCCTGAAAAATTTCCATCTAATGAGGTTAAGAGAGAACAGTAATTAGTAAACAGGTCTTATTTTAAGAAGTCCAGTTGACACATGCATGAAGCTGCAGTCATGCAATCCACACATCTGTACTGGTGACAGATATTCAGGGATATTATAGAAACACTTGTGACATCTGTAAAAACAAGGATCAAGTTATATAACAACGATGAGCAATGAGCAAATAAAGTACTAACAAAAAAATCAAACATTAAAATATTGAGATAAATATCAATACCACAGAAGTGCACACTTAGGGACCCACGCATTTACTTGACTTTCTTGTATAATTAACAAAGTAGACTAATCAGTAACTTTGACAATCAGCTATTTGTTAAGTCGTTAATTAAGAAAAACAGCTGCTGCTTGCAGCTCATTAATTGTGAAAATTTACTGTCCTTTTTTTTACATTCATTTTTTTTTTCCTGAATGAGTAATTCATCCGAGGTTCTATTAAAGTTGAGATGGGAATTTATCTTTCTTTGACCAATTTACGAACTTATATATATAATTAAGGCAACAGAGGCATCATCCTAGTTACATCCTGAGAGGGTTTTGTTTTTCTTGGAGATGCTGATTCAACTGTAAATCGTGAGGCAACACTTTATAATTGTGTGTATTGTTTTGTGGGGGGTTTTCCTGCGACAATTTAGACAGTAGACCACTTTCAAAAGGACAAAAAACATAATATGTTATCTTTTATATGCAGTTTTTGAAAGAACACGAGAAATAGTTTGCAACAGTTTGTTCCCTTTTTGTAAAGGTCATTTCCAGCATAATACACAGAGAGAATCACCAGCAGATGAGAGCTCTTTGTTCCTACACTCTCCAGTGAAAAATGTCTGGCACAGCTGGAGAGTGTTGTCACATCTATGCCCTGTCTTTTGGCTTGTCCAAACACTGATATGCTGTAGGCAAGACTCTCGGAGGGGACACTTGAAATGACAAGTATAGCATCATCATAACCCTGTTCTCTTTGGTGTGGCATGAAACAACGTAACCAAAAAAAATAGTATAACATCAACACCTAAAATACTGGACACAGTTCCTAAAATGCATTGATGCCTCGTGCATGGAAAGAAGAGAATTTCCTTGTTGATCACATCACCCCTCCCGTCCCGCTCCTCCATTGTGTCTCAACCCAAGCCCTTTTGTTAAATGTTTATACAGTGCATCTGCTGAACAGGAAATCAGATTTTATTGGTCTATTCACTCATCTCTTCAAGTTCACCAGCTGCAGAGGAACAGAACAGAAAAGCACAGCCAAAATGAAGACTGAATCCAGAATCAGTATACTCACTGACATACTGGGTACCTGCTATCAACAGTGGCTCCATCCATTATTATTTTTCATTGCAGTGATGCTTTTCCTGCTTTCACAGGTAAAAACATCTCAGTGATAATGTCAGAACAAATGAGCGCAGTGTGGAGTTTCTATAGATTCCTCAGTAGTGCTAAATCTTTCACATTATGGAAACTCATTATTGATAAATGTAATGAAATAGATTTAGCTTAGACAGTCTGGGAAGCAATAAGAGTATTGACTCCGCTTTTGGGGGCAATGGCCAACCAACCAATATTTGGTTGGTTTATATACAATTCAAAACTTTGTGGTCTCTTTTAACGAATGTCTGAAATGCCATACTGCATTTCAGCAAATGAAGTCCCTCTTTTTCTTCACTGTCCACCTGCATCCAAACAAATATGAATGGTCAATAAAAGACTAGAAAATGATTACCAGGCATGCAGATATCTCTTTATTGAGATTGAGGTTGAGGTGACATTGTCATATTTTGTGTCAATCATAAATTCAGCCTTTAGTACTTATATTTCTATATATAACTGTGCTACACAAGAAGAAGAACTCAAGGGGACATGACAACCGATGGAGCTGCATATTTGGCAAAGATTTTTAAGCCGGATATGCTTCCTGATGCAACCCTCCACACTTTATCCACACTTGGGAGAGCTGTAAACTACCTAGGAGCACACTAACTTACAAACACCTGAGGTTGGGAATAACTAATGTGCTATACCAAATATATTTAAAAGGACATTTGTGACTGCATTAGATAATTTTGTAAATGTAAAATGTATAAGACATTTTACTGGTTGCTGACAACTAGCTAGGTAACATTAGCATGTATAGAATTTGTTAAACAAAATCACAATGTCTATCCAACCTTAACCAACGTGTTTAGTTATCTAAACTATGCACATTACAGTCTCACATTTGCATTAACTCCAAAATAGCTCAGAAATGCAATGCTTATTAAAGTGATTCAGGCAGCAAACACGCCATCTAAGTCTGCAACTGGATAAAAATGTTGCATAACATGTCATTTCTACTGTATAAGTTTGATAAATCATCACAAGCCAGTTGTGTTTTTAACGCATTCTGAAATAACTTGCATTGCATGAGTCATATTCGAGCTCTTGAAATGATCACATCATATAGATGACTCAGCTCCCCTTTTTGTGATTCGGAAGTCAAAATGTATTCTTCAGTTTTTAATGGTTTGACTCATTACTGATAAGAAGCACAATTAACAGACTTGATTTAAAAAGTCACAGCTGATGAACAGCTGATCGTTTAACAAGAAGAGTTTAAAAGACTTCATTATACCCTGCTTTTATTTGTCAAATAATCAATCTATGATTATATCATCTTGTGTTTGTCATAATTTTGTACGTATCGGTTTAGTAAGAGAGAGAACAATTGTATAAAGAAAAAAAACCAATTTCAGTCACAGTTAAAGAACTGACTTTTCTGAGTCATAGACATACAAAACATCTAAAAGTGTGTTCCATAATAAAGATAACTTGTGTTTCACCTCAGGCAAAAAAAAAAAGAATTATTTTTTTTAAACTATTTCTTTTTCTGTTTATCTAGTTGCATTTGTAATTTTCAAGTGTAAGATGAGAGCAGTGCCCATGAACCTGGAGCCCTTCTGCTTGGATGACTCACAAGACTCAAGAGGAACAGCAGCTTTCCATTTAATACAAGAAATTGTGTTAAGCTCTAACATGTTTATACCAGGGTCTTTACAGCCAAGTCCAACTTTTTTTCTTTTTTCTTTTTTTTACCTCTGGGAGCAGCTGAAGGTCATACGGATATTATTTATAAAAATAAAAAAAAACACAGATTATATTTTTTTTATGTAAACTTGAATTCCCCTTTTGTACCATGACAATGTAAAAACCCAACTTCAAAACTGTCATTCTAACTTAAGTGAGCAAATGTTTTAGAAGAAACTGAAGTACCCCAAAATATAAAATTTAATAACAGGTATTAAAGGCAGCTGAAAATGTTAAGTACAGAAAAATTCAGATAGCAGTTTTCCCATGTAGCAAGGTAAGCCCACAGCCAGAGTAAGCCAACTATACAGTATGACATGACACCTCAAATTCAAAGGTTTCACTTTAACTGCTGTATTTTTATAAGTGGTCAGAAACTTGTAAATAACTCATGATAACTCATGAAAGAATAAAGTTACGTTGAAACCAAGCACACCATTGCTTTTCTTGTGACATTACCAATAAGTTTGATGCGTCACATGGCCCTCTTCCTATTGAAAAAACAAAAGTTGTATCCTGAAACCTTGGTCTCAGTATTGAGCTTGTGTAGCACCATGTATAAGTTTGTGTATGCATGTTATGGTTGTTAAAGGAGTATTAGAGGTATAGCAGGAACAGCAGTGGTAGCAGTAGTAGTATTTGTAGCACTGGTTTTATCCAAATGCTTGACTGACAAGCTTCCTAACCACAGTGCAACGATCAGCTCGATCAACCACAGTCCCTCAGGCCTCAAAGCCAAATTAGTCTCAGTGTACACAAGAGAAATCAGCACTGGAAATTACATACACATGACGCAAAGACTTCCTCTCTCTAATACCAAGATACTTAATGATGAGTTGTTAAAATGAGTGTCTAGTTCACCATAGCACTAAAACAATAAAGATCAGAAAATATAAAAATATATCCTGTATTTTAATAATTAATTTACAGTCTTTGTTTTTCCATTATGCAATGCAAGGTTTTATAGGGTAATCATAATTACAGTATGACAGTAACTGTAAATGTGCCCTGGTCATGTTCTTAAATCCCTCTCTGCAGTGCCTTCTACACCTGTAGCCCATATTATGAATTTGTATCCAGATGAATATAAACAGCAGAGGAAAACACACGGGTGAGCTCTCAAAAAATAAATAAATAAATAAATAACACGACCACAGGTGGTAAATATTTTCCATCTTGTTTAACTGAGTTTGAGCACCAGTAATCACTGATGTTAACACAGGGTCTGCCTTTCTCACCCCACTGGAGTCTTATGTTCTCTCACAGTGGAAAAATCTCTCTAGGGGTAGAAATCGCAGAGTAACCCACAATATGATATAACACTATCATGATACAATATGTTGCTCAAACCAACAACAATTTGAGGATATCACAATTTTGGAAACAGAAAACTGTATATACACGACAGAGTTCTGAAGGTGTGCTGTTCTTTATTAAATCTTGTGTCGTCTGTAATTGTAAATACTACTTGCTTATTCAACAAGGATGAAAAACAGCAAAGGGAGCCACTGGCTGTCACATCTTCATGTACAGCCAATACCCTTTAACAGTTTTCAGGCAAATGTGAAGAATCACTTCACTGTCCCACAAAGAATCACCACCTCAGTGTGTTACACTGACACCCTCAATGTGATGTCCTTACCTAATTTCCCATCAATCTGCTATTAATGGTGGCATTAAAAACAAGTTAGCTTCAATCCTCATTGATGGGTATGGTACCTTTGA